TCTGTGGCGGTCCACGCGCAGAGAAGACCACGGTGGACGAGGCCCTCTAGGCGCTGGAGGGTGATTTCAGAGCAACACCACGGCTCCATTAGAAGATGTGGGTGGGTGGATGCGAACATGACTATGGCTAAGACGTGGATGCGGGGAGCTTAGGCGATTGGCGGTGGAGGTCGCAGATGTAAAGGCAAAGAGGCAAAGTATGAAACCCTAGGGGCAAACATTTTGGTTTTATAGGGGCGATGGATGCGAGGAAACCAACCGTCCACCTAGATCTCTGTGCCTCCCATGATCTGCCACGATGTCACGTAGTGAGATACGCGCACGCAATCTCTATCCTTTCCTTCGAAAAACTCACTGGACATTTCGCCTCCCCGGGCGGATCGGGACTAGTTATGAGTAAGAGGAATATGGATCGAAAACGCATCTATGGCCTGTCTAGGCCTAGGAGTTCGACGGTTGGCCCATCAATGGATCCAACAGTCGTTCCAAACACCCCTACAATAAAGGGTGGAAAGAGCTGGGCCCCGCAAGCGGCCAGCGCCCAGGCACACGAACGCCATGGGCATCTTGGCCCATGATTAAGTCTTAGTCAAGCTTACCCTGACTAGATCCCTGCGAATGGGATACTAGGACCCCAATCGAACTATCCAGCTAACAAACCATCAAAACTCACGACCACACCAGCGAAGGGTCCGACCTTGGCAAGAAAGGAATCACCATCCCCAGAGCACGCCGTGGGCGACAAGAGAAAGCCAGGGCCCGTAGAGTCCTCCCTTTCAAAAAAAACTCTCCGAAGGAGTGTTCTACTCCTCCGTAGGCTCAGGGGCTACACCCATCGGGTGCGCTCGTGCACACCCGCTAGCAAGTCAAAAAAACCTCCAAAGTAGTATTATACTCCTCCGCAGACTTGGGGGCTACACCCACCGGGTGCGCACCCACCGGCAAGTCGAAAGATCCCCCAGACGATTCTACTCGAATCGCCGGGAGGCTCAGGGGCTACTATCGGGGACCAATAGTAGGGTACCCGAAGAGGAGGAGTCGATACCCATCAACGTTAATTCATCAGTGTGATCAAGAACACAACTACATTTCTCAGTAGGTCCCGCCTCGTCCAAACCACCAAGGTTGTAGGCTCCATTTCGTCCGATCGTCCGACCTCTAAGGGTTGAGAACGCCTCAGGCCGACCCCCAGGGGGTGGCTCCACCTTGCTCGACGTCTGGGGGCTGGCTCCGTCTTGCCCGACGTCTGAGGGGTGGCTCCGTCTCACCCGACGTCTGAGGGCTGGCTTCACCTCGCCCGACGTATGGGGGCTGGCTCCACCTCGCCCGACGTCTGAGGGCTACCTCCGCCACCCCCGACGTCTGAGGGGTGGCTCCACCTCGCCCAACGTCTGAAGGCCGGCTCCGCCTCGCCCGACGTCTGGGGTCTGCCTCTGCCTCTCCCGATGTCTGAGGGCTGGCACCGCCTCGCCCGACGTCTGCGCACGACTCCTTCCTGACGACGCGCGCAAATAACGCAGGGCACTCAAGTCAACCGCAATACCGAGGACCATACCCTGCACGCCTATAGGAAAGTACCGTCAGAATATGACAAGAAGGGCGCTTTGAGACCTTCCAGGCATGTCAGAGCCCAAACAGTGTTGTGGGCGCCGGCATTTGTCTTACAGTGTTGTGGGCGCCGCCATCTGCCCTCAAGCATGGATCCTGACGGAAGCTCACGACAACCACTATGGTCTAGGAGGAAACTCGCGTCACCTACAGTAACGAACGTACGGTCACTGCGTCGTCTGCTCTCTGTATGGCTGTGGATCAGCACCCTGGTCCGCCGCACCGCCCGTCAGAGCGAGATGGGACATGACAACTTGCTGACAATGCCAGGACATTGCATCATCAGCGAACAGACGCCCAGCACGGCCCTATCAGGATTAGCGAACATGCACCCGGCGTGGAGTTATCCCTGGCACCGCCTGCCATGTCAGCGGGGCCCCCATAGAGGAAAAGGAAGACCCGGCATATTTGAAGGACCTCCTTTGCCTCTAGTTTCCCTCTTTTCTCCTATCTATAATCCCTGCTCTCCCTTGGCCTCTAAAAGGGAAGGCAGGGAACCCCACTAAAAGGGATCGATTCAACACACCATGCATCACATCACACATAGCTGAGCAGCAACCAAGCTCTTAGCACCTATTTGACCTTTCTATCAGAGACTTGGGACATATCTCTCTCTCGCCCGTTTGTAACCCCTACTATGAACTTTTCAGCGCTAATAACACGAGCAGCAGCCACGAACTGGACGTAGGGATATTCTGGCCGAACCAGTATAAACATTGTGTCTTTTTAGCACATCATCCGGGCCAGACACGCAATAACACAAATTTACTCGTTGGCGTTTACTCGAAACACTGACAATACCCTATGATTAATGGAGAAAGGTCGTTTTACTTACGGAGGTAGTCACAATTGTCTGTATTACAAAATTGATTTACGAAGGCGGACATTTTATTAACGAACGCAGTCAGAAAATGTCCACCTTTGAAAATGGATTTATAGAGGCGGTCAAAAATGTCAGCCTCTGAAAATGGATTTACGAAGGTGGTAAAAAATATCCGCCTCCGAAAATGGATTTATGAAGGCGGTAAAAAATGTTCACTTCGATAAATCATTTACGCATGCGGACTTATAAGGCACCCACCTCCAAAAATCGGGCCCAGCCCGCTAACCCATAGCAGCCCACTATCATCTGCAGTATATCAAGAAAAACACAAAACCTAAACACTCCGCCGTCTCTCTCCCTCACCACGCTGCCTTCTCTCATTGTTCCTCCTCACCGCGCCCCTCTCTCTCTGACTCGACGGTGGGGCCGGGCCTCCTTGTCGGGTAAGGATGGATTCGGATCGGATCCGGATGGATACGGATTCAGATAGCACTATTTACCACATTTGAATTCGAATGCGAATACGAATGCTGATATTATCGGATACTAATACAAAATGGATATCTCGAATTCAGATTCGGATTCGGATATCCACTTGATTTCGAAGATCACATGTATCTATTTGCTTATTGATAGTTTGATAGTATAATAAAATCATTATGGATGAAGAGATTTAACATATAGCTATATAACAATGTGGACAAAGACAACTACCAAAAATAAAATATTTTAATCAATATTTTAATAATTAAATATATAAATATAATAAAATTAAAGATTATATATATTAATTATTGAATTTAGATAAATAAAAATAATTTTTTAAATGATACAAAATAAAATAAAATACTAATTATATGATTAGCCATGTTAAAATTAATTTAACTCAATATTTATATATTGTTAATAATATTAAAATTATACTAGCCTTAGATAACTTTTAAATAATAATGAATATCATCTGTTATATTAAATTTATTGTCATTTACATAGTTAATTAGTCATAATTGTAAGATTTAGATGGTTTCAAAATAATTTGTACTTCCCGGATACGTGTATTATCGGATATTTCATATTTTATCGGATACGGATGTGGAATCGGATAGAGAATAAACTTCAAAAATGAATACGGATACATCCATTTAACATACATATTTAAATCGAATTCGAATACGGATATCCATATTCACGATAAAACAGATACGGATATATGATGTTTCGGATATCTGGACATCCAGATCCATCCTTATTGGCGGGGGGCGCACCTCCTCGGTGCGAGTTCGACGGCGGGGCCGTGCCGAGCGGATCTTGTGCCCCTTCCCCACAACCGAGCGCGGATCCAGCCTTCCCCACCGCCGCCGAGCTGGAGCACCTCCACCACCAGCGGATCGAGCGCCCCTTCCGCTTCTTCCCCACCACCGAGCATAGATCCGGCGGAGCACCTCCACCACCAGCAGATCCAGCACCCCTTCCCCACCGCCGAGTCGGAGCACCCCACCACCAAGTGGATCTGACACCCCTTTCCCTCCTTCCCTAGCACCGAGCACGACGACGCCCCTTCCCCACCCCCGATTGGTGGACTTTGGCATGGCGGCACCCCTTCCTCCACCACCGGCGGTTCGGTCACCCCTTCCTCACCACGGGCGGTGGATCCGGACAGAGGATCCGGATCAGGGCTTGGAACTAGCTAGCTAGCGGGTTCATTAGTTTTTTTATTTTTGGTTATCCATTGTAGTTGCATTTTTGCAGGCGAACATGGAGGTCGCGTGTGTTTTTCTTTATTAACCCAGACATTTATTTCCAGGCGGAGGAAATGCTCACCTGCACAGAAGGTTTCTGTAGTAGTGCGGAATAGCAAGTCCAACTGATTAATAATCAGTAGCAGGATAGCAGTCGGCCAAGTTGGAAACTTTGAAAGTCAAGCTCGGACGAGACACAAACCAAGTGGAGTGCACCACACCTCCACGCGACCAAGGTCCAACTACATTTGGTTAGCCGCATCTCATGACCCCCCTGTCGCTGTATCGATCCATGACGGAGGAGCAACGAAATTCGATTCCACCCGTACGTATTTAATTATTACCAGGGTCGGAGAATGAGGCTCACTTCACATCATTAATTAGGCGCGTGTTACATAAGTTGACACGTCACGTGAGGAATTCAAGTTGGTAGACGCCAGCAGTTGACGCTGACAGGCGCTCTCCACAGCGCCAACCGCTCGCGTTCGTGGATTCAAATGTCTCATTCTTTCGGTCTCACCGCCGCCACTGACCGGCCGACCGGCCATGCCTGGCCGGGCGAGCAAAACACCAGCAAAAGCCTCCTTCTCGGTGCCTTCTCTCTCTGTCTTGCCTGCTTCATACAGTACTAACATACACATCCGCCCACGCTCCTGCTCCACGCATCAACGCCGCTGTCTGTCTGTCCCCGTCGTCACGGCAATGCTCGGACACTTCGTGCGCGCTGCATCCCATAGGGCCTCCCCTATATCTGTGCGAGCTCTCTGACTCTGAGTGCCCGACCTACACTTGCGCTTCGCCGCGCCACTGAAGGGGTCGTCTGACCGAGCATGACGACGCACCAGCACCAAGGCGCCACCGACGTGTCGTCGCCGTCATGGCCGAGCGCCGGCCCTCCCACGGCTGCGCCAGTGGCGGCCGCCTCGGGTGGCGCCATGATGCCCGGCGGCGCCATCACCGTGGCCGGCTCTATCGTGATCTTTGTGGTCATCTCCATCGGCCTCCTCTCCCTGCAGTACTGCTTCGACGCGTGGGACAGGGAAAACCACGGCGCCCGGCCCCGAGGACGCCGCCGCCGTGGCGACGACGGGACGGCGGGTTCGAATGGTGGTGGAGTCCGGACTCGGGGCGTCGACCCGGAGCTGCTGCGCTCCCTGCCAGTCACGGTGTACCGCGCCGCTGCGCCGGGGTCGAAGGAGGACGCGGTGGAGTGCTCGGTGTGCCTCGCGGAGCTCGAGGACGGCGAGGAGGCGCGGTTCTTGCCCCGCTGTGGCCACGGCTTCCACGCCGAGTGCGTCGACATGTGGCTGGCGTCCCACACTACCTGCCCGCTCTGCCGGCTCGCCGTCTCCAAGCCCGACCCCGGCTCGTCTCAAACCCCAACGCCAGCCTCGGCTCTTCGTCCGCTCCCTCCGGAGCCGGCGAACCCTCCCAGGAGTGTGCTTCTCGGGGTCTCCGACCAGGGCGCGGTCACCGCGGTGAACATGACCAGTAACGACGGAGATGACACGACCGCTTCGGCTTCCACTGCCGCTGCGCCCGTTCCGGTGATCGAGATTCCTGAGTTGGCGCCCGTGCCGACGCCGACCCCGTGCGACGCGGCCAAGTCGTCGCCGGTCTCAGCGAGGCCGAGGTCGTTTCGGAGGCTGTGGAGCTTCGGAAGGCAAGGCCCCAGCTCGAGCTCCTCCTGCACCTGCGGCGGCGCCGGCGAAGTAGCCGACGTGGAGCAGGGTATGGGCGTTACCATTGGCGTGGTCGTCGCGGAAGCGCAACTGCCATCAGAGGCCACGGCCGGTGTGGCTCAGGGATCTGCCGTGTAGCGACGGACCCCCGGACGTGCGTCAGGCCGACTAACCGGAGAGCAACTCCAGTTTTCAGATACTAGTATAAACCGCGCGCCATTGCGCGCACGTAGGTGAGCAAAACGTAGTCAATACAGACGGTCAATATATTTTTGCTTTGTACTTCACAGAATAAGTTTTGAACATGAGAAGAATGTGCAGAGTAATAAGGTACATACATATATATATTGAGGATGTGTATATTACATATAATATGTTGTTCAAGCGTGCAAGGAGTCGAGGATGATGCATATGCGTATGTCACGAGTCTGTCTATCCAACAACTATGTGTTTTATGTAGTTTCAACACATGAATTTTTTTGCACCATAGAATTAAAATCCAACAGCCTCCAGACAATCACAAATCATAAAATCACATATCCACATATAAAAAAAACAATTTTTTTCTATACAAGCACAAAAGAACCAATCGAAAACACGTTCTTCTCTGTCGGTGGATAGCAGGAACCGGCCGGTCGAAACGTATACCAACGTACACATGTGTGTTCCAACACATGCGTCCGTCCAGCACATGCGGCCGGTCGAAACGTATACCAACACATGCGTCCGTCCAGCGACCCGTGATCGCTGCTCAGGACGGACCGGGAAGCCAAACAACGCTGCATACGACGGCGAAGGCACGCCGCCGCACTACAGCCTACAGGATAAAAAAATCCATGTGTTTTTATTTGCTAAAACACATATATGTTGTATAGCATATCTGTAATACTTTGGTTCACGATCAGAGAGGTCGTCGCTGAATGTGGCCGTGCTTTGACAGTTGGATGATTCTGTTCATATATCATAGTATGTCAGATGTATGTAGATATAATGGAAAAGTGCCGTATTTTTCTAACATGAATGTTTCTCGGTGTGGTGGCTGCATCCTGATGCCTGTGAAATAGAGAACAGGTGATAAGACAACAACGCTTTTGGTTCAGACGTGCAATAGCAAAGGTGTTAGTTTGGTACTGTATGGGGGGCAGCAGATTTAGTGGGACCTAAAAAATACGATGTACTGTAGACGTAACATACCTGGTGAATGTAAAGTGGAAGTGGCTCCATCATCTGGCAGGGCCCATCTGATTTTCCATCACCTACACGTTTGGTGCCAACAAAAATGTGCAAGTGAGGTTTATTATGTAGTTATAGTGCCTTCCGGAATGATAGAGTGCTTTCGTTTAATTAAATGAGTGAGAAAGCTGCTGCCCCCTAAGTTGGTGCTATGTCAATCCTAATTCAGTCCTAGTTACAACGTGTATGAGCATGATAAAACTGATAGACGAGTCTCCATTTAAGTCATCAACAATCTGAAATTGTAATATGACAAAGGAAAAGGAAAATACAAATCAGGTTTGAATTAAATTTTCCAGATAGTTGCAGCGCGGATTATGTATGAATGGGCTAGCATTATACATTTTGCACACATTCGAGTCAGGTAGATGCCCACACAAATTAATTCCCCATTTTTATAAACTGGAAATGCAGGAGATAGGTTCCATATATCACCATAAAATAGTTCTGTTTGTCAATGGTTATCAATGGATAGTGACATGAGTAGACCCTATGTTTCTGAATGACATGGTGTTATCTGAATGACGTGGTCTTGACAAGAAGGAAACTGTTTTCGGCGAAAGAGAATACCAAGGCTAATTTTTTTATGCCTTCAGATTGTAAATTGCAAAGATCAGCATGTTTCCAAAGGTGCAGTCAATGTGAACGTAGCAAACAATATCATGCCGTAACATACAGCAAGAATTCGGGCAAGAAAAAGGTAAGAATGTTTTTCAACATGGAGGATCAACAATATTTTATAAGCATACAGTTTCATATGGATATGTGCGAGAATTTTAAGCAGAACAAGAGGAAATGTTGATGTAATAGTTATAGGGAAGAACCCACCCTTTTGGAAAACCATCAAGCACCGAAACCTTTTGTTCCATTTCTGAAAAAGGGGATGTGCACCAAGGAAGCACTGCAATGTATTTGAAAATGTATTCTACCAGCGTTATCGTCGTCCTCTGCAGTTGTATACAAAAAGCGAAAATATCATATAACTCGAGAAATAGTTTCGTTGCGGCAGGAAATTATCATGGAGGCATTTTTCTTAGAAATAAACAACCACAGACGCACATTGGTAAACCCATGTCTATTCAGTTAGCTAAACATGAACACAGGAACCTAGAATTGAATACACCAAAAGGCAAATAAATAAGATGTACTTTTTAAATTTACTCTTTGTCTACAGTTCACTCTATAAATTAACGGAGAAAGACCTATTTAATAATAGCAGGGACTGATATGATAATAGTGCTAAGGAGCAATGCCTATAACAGGAAAAGATAGAGGCTAAGAAAGGTAATAGTGTTAAAATTTTCAATAACAGTGTCTTATCCAAATCTGCCTAAAAGGAGACAGTAACCTAACGTGTATGGGAATTGTTGTAAATCAAAATGCAAAAACAAGAGGGAAATAGTAAGACTGGAAATAAATTCAATATAAAAAAGGTAGCAACCTGAGATGAGTACAGATATCTGCAAGATCAGGGTTGCTCTATAAATCACCCGTACAGAATGCAGGAAGACAAGATAGCAAATGAACAATAGGCATGAAGCAATAATGAGTTGATAACCCATATCTTGTTTTTTTAAGAACCCAGTAACCAAAAAATGCTATAAACATGCAGTAACGGAAAACATGACCCCATAATTTTAGAAAGGAGAGAAGGCCCTTTTAGCATACACATGAGCCTCTATATGTGAGCAGTAATCAAAGTAGGTCCTGAGAACATGAGCATTGAGACAAATAGAGGCATGTTTGTAACAGACATAAGGGCATGAGTTTAAATTAATTGGATAGATCTTTACATATACTTTGACAACATATGCCAACTCAATAGTAAGGATGTATGCATAGCTAAATAGTGGTTCCATGTTGTGTGAGTCCTACATTAACTTAGGTAGCTTATAACATAGCATGGAATTGTTTGCAGAGTAAAAAAAAAGATAAGAACATAAAACAGACCTAGTCCACCAGGTTGGATGGAAAGAAAAAAAGCTAACCTATAGTGAAAGTGCATTTGCCTCCTACGTGGGTTTTGGTGTATTGATAACATCAAAATTAGGGATTAATAAGATCTTAATGAGATATATTATAGCTTTAACCCATTGAAAGCTTTAAAAGGGTTTATCTAAGATGAAATGGTATCCCTCAATTCTTCAAGTGCACAAAGCGGACAAATCCAAAGCGCTCTCCAAAGCCTTTTTATTTTGTTTTGGGTTTAGGTATGCCGTACTATAAAGATGGATGCAAGTTTAGGTGGTCTGAGGAAGTTAGAGTGCTCAAGCATAAGAATAAAATCTAAAGAGAGACAAAATCACCTCACGAACACTTGGACATAGTTTGTGGACTTTTGGTAGTCAGAAGTTCCGGCTGTCGGAAGTCCTGACGTTTGGTGCTGGAAGTCCCGGCGCTTACTGACTTAGCCGCAGCCCGCCTACGCATCTTCGCCCGTTGGAAGTACCGACGGGAGTTGGGAGTTCCTGGTGCCGGAAGTTTCGGCTCCCTCCGAAAGTCCCGACACTTCACGACTTAGCCGCCTGCGCATCTTTGCTCGTCGGAAGTCCTGACGGGAGTCAGGAGTTCCGGGTGCCGGAAGTCCCGGCTCCCGCCGGAAGTCCCGGCGCTTTGGGACTTAGTCGCTTGGCTCGTCATGTCTGTCGATAGTCCCGACAGAAGCCGAAAGTCCTGGCTGCCGGTAGTCCCGGCGACCGCCGGGAGTTCCGACGATATGCGAGCAGGCCCAGTGGACCGTCTGCATGAACAGTGTTTTGCGTTGAGCCAGAAGTTCTGGCGATCTATGTTGGAACTTTTGACTCAGATCTGAACGGTTGGATTTGTCTTTGAGTATAAATAGCTCTCTCCTCTCTTCTAACCGGTAATCACTCATTCATTGCTCATCAACCTTCGTCCAAAATAGCTCCCAAGCATTCAAGGCTCCCATCTCCTCTTCTCTTTGCTCCAATCTTCGATTCCCCTAGAGTTTTGAGTAAAAGCAGTGTGAATTGAGTGAGAGAATCACTTTGGCAAGCTTGAGCACTTGATTTCTTCGTCAAACCGGTTGGATTTGCCTCTATTACTCTTGGGTTCTTGGAACCCTAGCCGGCTAGGCGTCGGCCAAGAGCTTCTGTCTTGTGGAAGAGTCTCGGAAAGTTTGTATTACCCTCGATTTCTTAGTAGAAAGCTCAAGTAACCTTTGTGGTTGCTTTGAGAGAGGCAAGGATGTGGAAGAGACTCTGACCTTTGTGGTCACCTCAACAACAAGGACGAGGAGCTCCTTTGTGGGGTTGCTGAACCTCGGGATAAATTCTTGTGTTCCGCGTGCTTATTGTTGTTGTGATTTGTGCTATCACATTTGTTCTTGTTGGTTTGTCTTACTCTCCAACTCTCCACTTAGGGTTTGGACTCGATCTACGGAGTGGTGACCTTTCGGCATCAAAGGAGCAACCCCAACACTTTATCTTACCAGTAGGGAGTGGGGTTGTAAGATATCTTTCATTCAAAGTTCGTTTTAACACTTGTAGTGCTATTCTCGTAGGTGTCGAAACTCCCGACTGTTTGCGTCGGAACTTCTGGCTAGCCCAAACTGTCGGGACTTCCGACTATCACTGATATTTGACTTTGAGATTACACAGAAATTTTTAGATACGCCTATTCACCTTCCCTCTAGATATTGTTTAGATCATTTCAAAATTAGACAAGAGCTGAGAAGCTAAAACTGGACTTAATTCTTTTAAAACACATTGAACTGTTTTACGTCGTACTCCCTCCGTTCTAAGGGCATGGTCGCTTCTGCTACACACCGTTGTTGCTGTCATCTGCAGCTACAGCTGTACATAGTGCAACACTAACCTGTTCGTTTGGCTGTGGCTTGTCGTAAACGATCGTGAATTTTCAGTCGGAACAATATTTTTCTCTCACACAAACCAGTCAGCAGTACTTCTTCACGAACCAGTAACGAAACGAACCAGCCAACCGAACAGACTAATTGCTGTTGTAGCTACAAACAACAAGGACATGCTCGCTTGTTTGCAGCCGCAGCAGCAATAGAAAGCAGCACAAGCGAGTGGACTGTAAATTATAAGTCTTCTCGCTTTTGTAGATACATGTAGCGTGAAGAAATTCTTTTCTACAATGTTGGATAGCTGAGAGAAAGTTAACAAGGCCCCCTAAGGTAAAACAAACCGAACAAACTCGAAACAGCTAGCGCAGTGAAGAGAAAACGACCAAATGCGCGTGTATGAAACACTAAGGGTTTGTTTGGAACGGAGGAATACAAAACAGAGGAATAGAGAAAAACATAGAAATAGGAAAAGAATAGAGGTTGAAAACACAGGATTGGAAAAACATAGGAATTTATAGAAATTGGCCTTTGAAACAAAGGAACATGGCTAGCATAGGAATTTAAGAGTTTTCATAGAAACTCAATGACTTAGGCTAAGCATATCGGTAAACAAAATTCCTTTCGTTTTATAAAAAAAGGTACAAATAAATTGAAGCATCATGGATGGTCCACGTGCCAGATATTATCCTTCCTCCTACTCTGGTTGCTATGGTTCAATTGAGCACCCCGGTCTTTTCTATCTATTGTATACTGTAGTCTACTTTAGCGTTATTTATCTTTTTCCTCGATTTCTCTGCTAATGCAGTCCGTCGTCAGGTTGCAGAGACAGTAAGCGCTCGTTCGCTCGGTAATCGCAAAGGAAAAGAAAACAAGGGGTCACGGTACATGTTTTCTTTAAATCGACATCCAGCTACAGGAATCCAAAGAAAAGGAAAGCGAATTTCCTCCGTTCCAAAATACTCAGTCCAGCTTCCTTTCTTCCGTTTTCTCCTTCCTACGATTTTCCTTCGATCCAAACAGTCCCTGAACCTACCAAATACTATCGAGTCCTTCGGCACCCACTCTAATCCGGTAGAGCAAGTATAGCAAGACCCATTCAGTTAGATGAAAAGTTATCATCTCCCAAAAATCAAAAAAATATGAACCGAGTACCTAACTTAAAAGAAAATATTAAATCCACCTTGGTCCCCTCAACTATTGTGTTGCTCTTATTTTAACTCTCAACTATAAAAACCGTGTAGTACCGATACCCCAACTATTCAAACTGTTCACTTTTATCACCTGGGCGAAGGCAAGCTGTTTTGACCGACGTGAAACGGTTTTGACACACAGCCTCCATCTCAGTGACGTATGGAGCCCACGCGTCATCGACTCAATCCCTCCCTCTCCGTCCTCACGGCCACGGCCACGCGAGGAAGGCGGCCGCGGCGCCGACCACGGCAGCACACGAGCGGTCCGTGAGCGAGCCGTGCCACCCGGCGCTCGCGCGCCTCCACGGCACCGTCCGCGCGCTCAGGGCGTGGTGCGGTGCCGGCGGAGCCTCCTCCTCCTACGACGAAAAGGAGGCCACCGACGACGAAGCTGTCAGAGCTGGAGTCCCAGCTGTCGCAGCTGCAAGACGAGCTCAAGAAGGCCAAGGAGCAGCTCCATTCCTCCGAGCTCTCCAGGAAGCGGGCCCTGCAGGAGGCCGACGACGCCAAGGCGCAGGCCGCCGCGGCGTCCGCGCAGGCGCGCGACTCCGAGGCGCAGCTCGCCGAGCTCTCGTCGGCCGAGGAGGCGCGCCTCCTGGAGCTGCGTCGCCTGTCTCAGGAGCGCGACCGCTCGTGGCAGTCGGAGCTGGAGGCCATGCAGAAGCAGCACGCCGCGGACTCGACCGCGCTGGCGGCGGCGATGGGCGAGGTGCACCGCCTCCGCGTCCAGCTCGCCGCCGCGGCGCGCGCCGACCGCCGGCAGGACATGGTGGAGGCGCTGGCCACCATCGACGAGCTCAGGGTGAAGCTCAAGGCGAGCGAGGAGGCCGAGGCGCAGGCGCGCGCCATGCACGAGGAGTGCAAGCAGCAGCTGGAGGCGAGCCGGGCCACCATCGATTCGCTGCTCACCGACGGGTCCAAGCTGATGGACTCGTTCAGCCTCGTGGTGAAGGAGCTCGAGGAGTCGCGTGCCAAGGTCAAGGCTCTCGAGGACGAGATCGCGGAGACGTCGTCGAAGGCCGCAAGCGACCGCTGCAACTGCTCGGGCTCGGAGTCGGAGGCCGCCGAGCTGAGGGCGGAGCTGGAGGCCGCGGAGGCCAGGTACAAAGATCCTTAGCACCGTCGAGACGCAGTGCGCGTACGAGCTCATGGACCAGATAAAGACAGAGTCCGGCCTGCGGCACGGCAAGCTCGCGGCGGCGCTCGAGGGCGCTAAGTCCGAGGTTATCTTCCTCAAGGCGAGCCTGTTGAACGAAGCCCGTTCGGTTTGCTGGATCATTTGGTCGCTGATTTGTGAAGAAGTAGTGCTGACTGGTTTATTTGAGAGAAAAATACTGTTCTGTTATAAATTTACGATCATTTAGCACGGTCCACAGCCAAACGAACAGGCTGAGCTACGGAGCGCGCTGGACGCGAACAAGAAGCTAGAAGCGGAGACGAGAACAGACAGCTCGGCCGACGCGCTGAAGAAGCAGCTGCATGGCGCACTGCACGAGAACGGGCAGCTGAAGCAGGAGCTGCATCAGTACGAGTCCGAGAAGGGCTCCGCAACCGCGAGGACGGCGGAGGCGGCGAAGAAGGGCGAGATGGAAACCGAGCTGCGTCGCCTGCGGGTGCAGGCCGAGCAGTGGCGAAAGGCCGCGGAGACAGCCATGGCGCTGCTGACGGTTGGCAAGGGCGGGAACGGCAAGGTCGTGGAGCGGAGCGAGTCGTGGGAGGGCGGCAAGTACGCGGGCCTCTGCGAGGAATTGGACGACGACGCGGCCGCCTTCCTCGTCGGCGTCCAGGAGCCCGAGACCGTGGCCGTGAGGGTGGAGAGGGAGGGACTGAGTCGATGACGCGTGGGTCCCATATGTCACTGAGATGGAGGCTGCATGTCGAAACCGTTCAACGTTGATCAAAACAGTCTTGTCTCTGTCCAGTTGTTAAAAGTAAACGGTTTTGACAGTTAGGGTATCGGTAAGTTAAGGGTTAAAATTAAACCGACACAATAGTTGAGGGACCAAAAGTGAACTTAATCCTTAAAAAAATCTATGCGTTGGGCTCTATTTGGAGTTATTTGCATTTTATTTGTTCTTAGTCCCCGTGTTTTATTGTTTGGAGTCATGTTCGTTACTTATCTAAATTATCATATTTGTACAATATCAAACATGGGATTGACCAAAAGAATCCTTAGCAAACTGCGTTTAAACGAGACTTTATAGATGGCACCAATCTTGAAGGTGCTATGCTCACTACATGTAGATCATATTTGTGCATTACCACTAGTACTGACATTGCTAGCCCTCCAAAATTAATTTAGTTAATTTGACTCCAACATATTTGGTACTCAATTTAGAGCATGGATTCTCTTGGTCGATCTCTTAATTTAGTATAACACAAAATGATGACTTAAATAAATATCCAAAGAACTCTAAATCTAGGACCAATAGAGACATATATTTTTTTGATAAAATATTTTGGGTACTAGTTTCATGTTTGTGCCAATTCCAAAATGAATTAGTTATGAATTCTTAATAAATAAACCAAAGTTTTATTTTTTTGAAAAATACAAAACCACATTTGAAGCAAGCTAGAACACAAAATTTAGAGTTATATGGACAAAAACAATCTCCATAAGAATTGCATAGAAAAAAAATAGAGTTCTCCTTTTTACTGGCCATTAATTTACGCTAAATCTAACCGTAACTCGAGTGTTTTTTTGGCGTCGTCTCGATTTATCGCCATCCAATCTCTGCTGTTGGTCTCGATTTCCATCGTACTAGGCTGTAGGCTGTAGCTGGCTGATGCGCACGCGGTAGGAGGCAGGCTCAGGCGGTCAGCAGCACAGCACGGCCACATGCCCATCTCGGCCCCTGTGCGCCTGTCTCTGGTGCGTACTCCTCTGTAAAAAAAAAAAAGTCATTCTCGGTTAAAAAAGACAAGAACTCTTAACTTTAACCAAATATATTTAATAAAATATTAATATTTATAGTACATAATTAGTATTATTGGTATATTGTTTAATATATTTTTATACTAAATTTATTTAGAGATATAAATATTACAAGTATTTTTTATAAATTTAATTAAAATTGAGAAAATTTGACCAGCACAATTCTCGTAACGACTCAATTTTTGAGACGAAGGGAGTAGAGTACTATACCAGTAGAGTAGGCTGGCTCAGCAGAACAGCACCCCGTCTACCCACCTCGGCCTCTGTGCCTGTTCGGGAGGCCGTATCGTATCGTGGATTATTTACTGCTGACTGGTTTGGTGTGAGAAAAAAACACTATTTCCGGCTAAAATTTTACGATCGTTTATAAGCAAGCGAACAGGTTGAAGAACAGCCTCTAGGCCCTCGAATGGATGTACGTAGGCACATAGATTCCCTGATAGATTATGAGCCTGTTCGTGTGTTGGTTGTTTTAGCCAGACTAAATTAGTCAATTAATAGTATTTTTCTCTCATAAAAAATCAACACCAGTCAACTTAAACCAGCACCCGTACCAACCAGCTAACAGCCCCTATATCTTATTGATCATATTTTAATATTTCTGTTTTGTTTTAAGTTTTGTGTTTAATTGGTGTAAATTGATTCATCATGTTCGTTGATGCTAAAATTTAGTTTATGCTGAAATATTGTGAAAAAAAATACTATTCTATGGCCTAAAAAATAGCTCTGAATAAGCTAAAACAAACATGGCCATTATTTGTAAATGAGAATGGTCAGAATGACTCGAACATTTATCTGATCATTTTTTGCTTTTTTTTGTATGTTTATTTGGTTCCTCTTTGGAATTTTTCAATTTGGCTTTCTTAGAAATGATCTGACTAATTTTTTTGTTTGTTTAATATTTTTTGTCTGTATGGTTTATTTGTTTCAATTTAGCTTTTATAGAAATAATTTGGATATTTTTTTATTTTATATGTTCTATCTATTTGTATTAATTTTGATCATTTGATTTGGATCATGTGGTTACAGGAATCGAGTCATTTGTGGCCTTAAAACACTCGAATCCGTCGCCGAACCAAATTCGAGCATTTTTTAGCCGCTTGGCACTCGGGTGTCAGGACTTCCTGGAACAACCGAACGTAAAGTAGACAGACCCTTAATTTACGGATTGTTATTGGTGTGATTGCTTCGGCAACCTGGATTTTTTTTAATTTTAATATTTTTAAAAACTAATTTTAAATCTAACACTATTTGTTTTTATTTTCAAATCTAACACTTTTAGCAGCGTCTATTACCATGATGTGACGAAACGCTTGTGCCGCGCTGGCGCGACAGGAGGATGACATGTGAAGACCGGAGGCACTGATCGATAACGTGGCATAGTCACGCGCCATAACTAACGGCGCGGCAGTCCTCAGGTCTGTGCATCTCAGCCAACAGCACTGTGAGTCCGTATGCGATGTCTGCATCGTTCTTCCATGCATGTCCTGAGTAAGCTGAGCGCACGTCCATCCATCAGTTGCATGCTGCCGTTTCTGCTGCTTGTGTTTCCGAGGACGGGATTGGATTAGCCTCCTCCATTCCATCGATAACGCACTAATCAAATAGTAGTACTAGGTGTAGGAGTACACAGGAGAGCGAGAGATGGCCTGTCTCGTCTCGTCATGTATACTGCTCCCTGTCCAAACATACGGAGTACATTTTATATGAAGCCGAACTTTATATAAAAAATTTACCTCTCATCGTGATATGTAACTTAATAGTTGAGAAGTTTTTATTTCAAATCATTTAGTCCCAGAATAAAATTTCAAACAACCTCATATTTTGGGCTGCGTGTGTGTTTGGCCAGTTGATAATCACATTAAAAAAAAAGGTGTCTTGGAGATGTATAGTTGAGCTATATTGCAGCATTAAAACTTCGATTCAACATACTTTTTTTTTGTTTGCTAACCTTATCTTATTTATTTGGTGATGAAAAAATGATGTTAAAAATAATTTCTATAACTAAAGATCTTCTCCCAGAGATTATAAAAAAGCCTGCCCTCTAAAAAGAGGACCCACGAACACCTCTTCTAAACAAATGGATTATAGCTAAGGGACTTTTTTGAATGCCGTAGAAAATACGGTATAGAAAAATAAAGCCATCAGGGTGATACTACTGTGTACTCCAGTACATCTGGGTATATCTATCTATCTACGTGTCGGATACCACAAGAAGGGGTACCCTAAGCAAGAACAAAAATGTTGCTTAAACCTTACAAAAATCAAAGTCAAAAGACTACCGTCAGGTCTCTGTAGAATTCTCTGATTCGCTCAAGGCCTTGCGCCGATGCCTCATACGAAAGGCCAAAAGCGCCCCGCCGAGGTTCTCTCGCCGAGACCCTCTCGCCGAGGCCTCGCCCCGAAAGGTTTCGGATGGGATGCCAATTCTCCGATTCGTTTGAGGCCGGGCTCGGCAAACATACTCGTAACCTCCGTCCCAACCAAACTCCTCTGACGAAACGTCACGTCCAGATTAATGCGCCCAACTACTCCCGCAAACGTCAGCCGCACTCAGGTACAGTACGGGCAGAATGACCGACGGGACAGGGGACCGGGCGCAGCAGGGGTTACCTACCACTGTGCTCATCATTGTGCTACCTAACCCCTGTGTGAAGGACAAAGCAGCATGGAAGGTCAAGTCCATGTCCCTGTAGTCTCGGAAACCGCAGGAGAGCCCAACTGCTCGTTCTACGCCTCGTCCGAGACCCCCCGGCAGGGTCTCAGACGTACTATTCCTTCTCCGCCTCGGTCGAGGCCGGGCTCGTCCCGCATCCTCGTCGTCTCCGCCTCAACTGCCCCTCTGGCGGGCCGTCCCATCCGTGTAAGTACCCCTGGTTGCGCCTACGTCAGCCACGATTGGCAGGGCATAGCAACAGGGGCGATGGGACGGCGGTCAAATCTCCTTTTTTACCATTCACCACTGACGGTGTAGGGACTACCGTACTTTGCGGACACACGCCCTGCACTTTTCCACCTAAACCGGGTATGACGCTGACCACCGAGACCGCCGCATCGTACTCAGGTCACCTCCCAGGCCTCGACAAATCAGGCCTCGGCGCGATCGGCCACAAACACCTGCCAGGCCTCGGCGAACCACCAAGTCAAAAATTCATAAGGCACGGCATGTCACCTACAGAGGAGGCCGTGCTGACTAAACGTCAACGAGGACTCCTACGACTTCAACAGCCTCAGGCATGGCTGGCATGACGCACTAGTGATCAAGTACCAATTGCCATTCCCGACACTGTGCTGCTATAGGAATAGGCCACAGTACTGGATCTTCCTTCCTCGCTAAGGCTTCACGTGTAGCTCTCTCATGTACTCCTGGCTCCCTCCTTGTGGCTATAAAAGGAAGCAGCCAGAGCCGTTTCTATGGATCGAGACCACGCCGGCCCTCACGCGCAAACGCACTCACTCAATTCATGCGCGCTCCCACGCTGCCTGAGAGCAACGACTCAAGTAGCCCACACCACTCCACGCCGAGACCTAGGACTAGCTCCCTCTCTCACGCAGCTTGTAACCCCCTACTACAAGCACTTCGGTGCAAGGAATACAAGATCGATCTCCTAGACTAGACGTATGGCACCGATTGCCTGAACCAGTATAAACCTTGTGTCTCTTTGCATCACCATTCGGGATTAGGGGCACACAGTTCACATTTACTGGTTGGTTGAGGACCCCCCGGTCCAAAACACCGACAGTTGGCGCGCCAGGTAGGGGCCTCTGCGTGTTAGCGTGATCGTCCCAACAAGTTCCGGATGGCTGATCCCATACGTCCACTACGTCTCGGCACGGTGGTCTGGTTTGGGAGCCTAGAGTTTATGGCTCTAGGATGTGAGTACGATATGGTACTCCTCACAC